GAAAAGGTCCAAGGATTTTGAGCGGGATGTTGTTCTGAAGCTTGCAGCGCGATAACGTGTCATGGTTGAGATACGGGCACATGCTGATTTCTATGACCAGATCTACTTGCACAGGTGCCTGCTAGAAAGAAGTGAATGATCCGGGGCTTAGGGTACTAACCAGAGACTTGGGTCCTGCCACAGGCTTCCTATGTGGCTCTACAGAAATCATTCTTCCTTTGCCCATTATTTTTGCCCCATGCTTCTCCTAGAAAATATGGATAATAGTATATGAAACCCTGTTCGATGCTTCAATATTATGGCAGCGGTGGCCCTGAAAGGGTATGAAATAGATGGGCCAACCCTTCCGTTTTAGAAACTACGGTAAAAGAAACTCGTCTCATGTAGAAATCATTTAATTTCATTATTTAAAAACAACAGTGGTGTTCTCTTGCTTGCATATCATAGGCTTAACCTTACTCCCCCTCCAGTACTATCAGATTAGCATTGGAGTCCTTTCCTGGATCCGTCGGGGAGATGTAAGAGGAGGATAAGAGAAGTTACGACAGAAGACCTTATTTCTTTTTTGGGGCAACTCCCAGGAGACAACGCCTGCCGTCTCTCGTGGCGGCGGTCAGATTGTGCGTTACACCCGCCGTAATTGCTTTGACTGTAGTTTTGCAACATGGTTTAAAAGCCTGGATTCACACCAGAAACAGTCCATCTGGGTGTGTTGGGTGTGCACAGCTGAAAATGATACGGCTTGTACGACCTGGGGGAAAGAATGATTTTTGCAGAGTCAGTTTGCCATGTGGCTAGATCCCAATACGTCAATGGACTTGCAATAATCGTGCCTGCGTGTTAGTAGCCGCTACAGTACCCTTCTCCTCTAGACTAGATAGACTAAACAAAAAGGCATTTTGAAAACCGGATCCTGAAGCACAGCTCCTAGATCTTTATTCAGGCACCTAAATGTAAGCAGATGGATTCTCAAAGGTGTATTACATTTACAGTTTTCATTGACTTCAGTGGGTTTTTTTTTCTCTCTCCAGCAACTCAGGCCAATTCTGTGCAAGTGTCTGCATAGGGATCCAGGATCCAGAATTTGGACACCCAGATTTGAAATTTTTGGCTTGAGAAGAATTAATTTTCCCCATAATAAGTGGATGGATGGGGTGAAGATCAAGGGTTAGAGAAGCTTCTGTTTGTAACCCATCAGTAGTTTTGTGGGACGTTTCTGAATATATGGTAATATTGAGCTTTAGGGTCTGAAAAGGTTATTTAAAAGAGTCTGTGTTATAAGAATGCAACAGCACTTCTCATCTTCTAAAATGCAAAAGAACTAGATTTCCATGATGTCGGATGAAACAAAAATAAATATACCATGTTAAGAACATTGCGATGACAATGATTCACTCGAATAGATCTAATATTTTCTTTTGGTGACCAATTTTTTCCCCCCCTAAAATAGTATTAAACATCTGAAGTTATCAAAAATACCTGTAGTTTTGAAAATTATTTCCATCTTCTATTTTACTTAATGTACATGCCTCATCCAGAAATTATTAAAGAAGCATGAGTCATACGGCGCTCATTTATTCTTGGCGCACAGCCATCCTCAATATACATATTGGTATTTTCAAACTGTAGATACATATGCATGAAAATATTATGTAAAGTTCCAAGATCACAGTTAACACAGCATACATTGTTCATCTGTGTATTTACAAAGTATTTAAAGCACACAAAATTGTGCATTATAATGTACCAAATTTAACAAACACTTGGTTGCATGTAGAGCAACAAGTTACAATAAAAATCGGAACAAAGACAACCAATAAACAGCCAAATTGCTATGTACAAACAAGGCAGGAAGCAATTAAACACTGCCTTGCACACTTCACTTAAATTACTTTTTCTCTGAGGAAAAAAGCAGCAGTCTTACATCTTTGTCATTTAAAAAAGTTTGGGACCAAAACCTTCCTCGGGGGCAAGTCTACACAACTCCCATTGCATTTAATGGAGGATTCATTGCATAACCTGGAAATCACATTTGGTCCTTTTTTTTTTCTTTTAATGTAGTGTTTTAATTATGCAATATTTGTTTCCAGCACTGGACCATGCATGGCACGGCACAACACTGCAGTATGTCGTGTCCTTCAGTCCTCACTCAGGCAAGACTCCCATTGACTTCAAGGTGACTTTTGCCTGAGGTAAGGGCCCTGGATCACCTCTGGCTTTTGTCATTTTTAGACAGGAATTAATCTATTGGTTTCTTGATTCAGTCTTTGGGCCAGGTTCTCAAACTCGGCATGGCAACCTTGGACTTCATGGAGATGCCCTATGATATACCACTGGAGAATCTGCAGCACCCGCAGCAGTTGGACCCCTCTTGACTTGCACGGCACGAGAGGGGGGACTTGAGACCCAGGGACGGCAGAACATGGCCCAAAGTGACATTAATAGAAACGCAAACACCAAAAAAGAAACCTGTGCAATTTAACAGAAAACGTGCTTGTTAAGTAGTTCACAGTTTGAAGGAAAATGAATATTAATGAATTAACATTAATTAACATTAACATTCATGAACCACAGTTAAACACCCCCTGGCAATGATAGCAAAAGGAAAACCCCATCTTTCTAAACAGGAGGTTTTCCATTGCCTAGTAATAAGATAAACTTAATAGCAGTGTACTTCTTCATCATAGGTAGACAAGGTTCTTTGGGTGAATATGATATCTTGTATTAGACCGACTTAAATAGTTGGGGAAAAAAAATGTTATAGATGAAAAAGTCTTCATCATAAGATGACCAGCTTAAAGGCTAAATCTTGCCCCTGCTGACAGGGTGCAGAAAGGCAGGGAGATGTTCGGGCTTTTCTTCCATCCAAAAAGTGGGGTGTGCCATAAGAGACAGACAATGAATATACAGACTCATACATAGTAGCTCTGAGGGGACTTGCTCTGTGGGTTAGAAAGATCCCCTATAAGTTCAGCTGCCTGTGGGGCCTGATCTATAATCAATGGTGAAAGGCTGCAATTACCAGCTGGCAGGAGGCGTGCCTGCACTTTGCTCCTGCAGCATACGCTAGTGCTCATTGCCATGGTGTGAATCTTGGGGAATCGTGCCCTGACTTCCTGCAAAGGATACTATGGCCCAGTATCCTTGCTTCCCATCTCTGCCAGCAAGGACAGGATTTAGCCTCATGAATCCTCCTTAGTCAAAGTAGAAGATAAATATCTATATATATCTATAGCTATCTATATCTATAGCTATCTATATCTATAGATATAGATATATCTATAGATATCTATATCTATATCTATATCTATAGATATAGATATATATCATGATGTGTGTGTATGTATTTGCGAATAGACTTACTACTTATGTGCTGCTATAGTGGAAAAAAACAGAGACCAGAACTTGATGAAATCCATGTTGTATGAAAATTCATGGCCCTTTTCTAAAAATACTTTTTGCTGATGGCAAAGTTCAACACCTCAGAGCACTCTGAATCAAGAACTTAGAACAAGTTTCCAGGGTGTACAGCAGATTTTCAAATACACTACACCCCTTGTTGTTTGTAAGGCTGCATTGAATTTTTACATAACAGTCATGAGCCATGTGTTTAAACATTTTAAAAGAGTTGACCAGCAACTTAATGCATTTCTTTATAACCCACTGAACGTAAAGATGCACCATCTCTTTCCAAAACATTGCTATTTAAATACTGCAAACATAAACGTTCAGGATAAAATATTCCATTCCCTTCTTCCCACCCCCCTTACTGGCTCCATTTTAAAATATTTACACTTCAGCAATGAAGTAGTAATTTATAGTTTTCTGTGCGTGTGCCTTTGCTATATGGCAAATCCAATCAATTAATGTGTAAAGGTTAATTCACAAAGCAAACACACAAGCATGGAAGATGGATGCTTTTAGCGATAGGTCTTTTTGAGCCAAATTGTCAGTGGGTAGACCACCTTCTTGCAGATGCAATGAACTGCGGGCGCAAGTCTCTGTACTTGTCTATCTGGCTACTAAACTGCCAGCACAAAATTGGGAAGTTTTAGATCTACAGCTGTGAAGACATGGATCCACACAGTTCGTTTGTGGGTACACAAAATGAAGGCACATTTTTCTTGCAGGCACACATCACGTCTGCAAACGGAAAAGGTGTGGCCCAGGTGAAATTATACTCCTTTGTGAAATACTCCAAATGAATAGGGTACACTTGGCTTTATGGGCCAGGCACAGACATTACACTTTTACTGGGATAAGTGATCAGAAACCAGTTTATACCCATAACAGAACAGAAGTTTGGCGCACAGATTGGTTTAAAAATGGCAGGACCCAGTGTACGACTTGTGCCCCCCGGCCAAATGTGCGTTCTGTCTGCTACCGATCTAAACTATGCTCCTTACAGAAAACTATGCAACTTGGACCGATTTGACCACAGGCTTTTTGAATGTCTATACCTAACCTATGTGAATAACAGATATTTATCCAGATGTGTGTGTGGAAGCCTATTCAGGCCCATGTCTATGCTCATTTATAGCAGCTGATGATCTAGCTAGCAATATTCAGGTGCACAGGAGGCACAGACCTCTGGCCTGTCATGTGTCTGTGCAAGATTCATTACAGAAGAGACTGTTCTGTGGGGAGTGTGGTCTAGTGATTAGATCAGGGGACCAAGATTCATCCCTGGGTTTTGTTCTTTACTGTGGGCCTTTGCTCTTGGCTCCATGACCGGTTTGTGATCTTGGGAAAGTCACTTAACCTCTCTGCCCCGATTTACCAAACTCTAAAATGGGGATAAGATTTACCTACTCTGCAGGGGGTTCTTTTAAGTAGATTGAATCAGCATCACCACTTATGAAGCACTTGAGACACCCCGTCATAAAGTGCTACAGAAGTGCAAAGCATTATAACTGCTATTCTGACTGTGTTTTGTTCTCTATTTTTGAAAGACCCCTTTTTTTTTTTAACGATTCATTTAAATTATTTATTATTGAAAGACACCTTTTTTTTTTTAACGATTCATTTAAATTACTGAGGACTTGCTAACACTCTTAAAAGGCACTGGCTTACCCAATGACTGACTTGATACCTAGGGGCAGTAATTAGTAGGACAGATATTTAAATCAAATGACAACCCAAAGTCTTACCCCCACCGAAGTATTTATGCCCAGTACCAATCACTCATTACTTTGACCGTCTGTTTCCAAATGAAGTGATGACATGTGGTTATGCTTCTGAAAGTTAAAGTATGTGTGAGAACCTCAGCATGGAGGTAATGGGATGAAGGAAGTATGCCTTGAATGTTATTTAAACACAGTTATATGAAACAACATTGGAATCAAGATGTAGGGCTGAACTGCAACTTTGGTTTGCAATCTCGGGGTCAGATTTTCTGCTGGTACAAACAGGCAAAACTCCATAGAAATCAACCCCTTCACAGCAGCAAAGAAGTTGGTCATTGGAGTTATACTAAATGCAGGGCTGCTTCTGGAAGAAATAAAGAGCAGAGGTGGAAAAAAATAAAAGGTCTTCTATCATCTGTCTAACTAGCAGAGTGCAGCCTGTTTTGTTGGGGTGGGGAGCAGGGGGACGGCTTGCAATCAATCACAAGCCCTAGTCGTGGGGGGCACCCTTGGAGCGCCAGAGCAAGACAGGATGTGTTTTAGGAACTTCTCATTTTAGAAGAGCCCAATAAAAAGAGAGATCAGATCTCATCATAGAGATCAGAGCCCAATAAAAGTTTATTTTTATTAGCTATAACCATGGTCCTTTTGCTTACCGGTCAAACGGGTCAGGCCCCCACAGGACTAGGTGCTGTACTGTGCACTGTAAATTGTTTTGCCTGCACAGCGCAGGCACCAAATCGTCCTGGTCCCTGTTGATAAAGAACATTTTATCAATGACTGCGAGTAACAACTTGGCACAATCTTTGCCGCCAACGCCCTGGTCTGGCTCTACGGTGTATTCAAAGCTCTCTCGCCTTACACACTGCTTTGTGTGATGACACAAGCTTCAGCTTGTGCTACATAAATCTACTTTAGTTAGTTTGTAAGGTGCAGATCTATCCAGCCTTCTACCTGACTTCAGACTAACATGGCTAACTGCACTTCTTTGCCTTCTAGTGGTTCGTTTTTCCCCTATCCTGTACTTCCACGTGGGGTAAAGCCTGAAACACCTACTCTTCCAGCTGTAAGCAGGCCTAGCGTTTCTCCTTGCCTCCTCCCCTCCGACACGAATTTCCAGTGCAGACCTGATCCAAAGCTTTTGCAAGTGAATGGGAGTCTTTCCATTCTCAGTAGGCTTTGGATGGTGTCCGTGTGATACGTGAAGACATGGATACGTATGAAAAAAACCGCCACTAACAACACATGGAATTACAAATGTAAATGCCTCCGACAAAGTGTTTTCCCTAAGTTCAGAACAAAGATACTTTTCTTGGCCTCTACATACTGCCCAAATGTTACGGGTGGGATTTTAATAGTCCGGGGCTTTATGGAAATACTAGTTTAATAAGGAGCACAGGTTGTGCGCCAAGTGCTTACCTTCATCTCAAGGACTTCTAAACCTTCATATTAGACTCAAATAGCTTTATGGGAAGCCTTAGAGTATATCCATGTGGAGGCTGAAATACTGAAAGAGGAGAAAGCTGGGCAAACATGGAGCGAGCAAATTTTACCAGTAGGAATGTGACCTATAAAACTAAGCTTCAAGAACTGTATAAGAAAAATTAAAAGTCAAATGCCTGCACAGCACCTGGGGGTCTCTCTCCACTTCTGTTAATTTGTCCAAAGCCTAAGAACGTTTGCACTAAAATGATCCAGGGATTATGGCTCTCGTTAATATGGATTTAGCTTTCTAGGGCATCTTCTGGAGTTTAAGAGTCTGTGAGCCATACTTCATGTTGGAAATGATAAAATAATGGGACTCATTTTGAGGTGTCCTTAGGGAAGTCGAGCATGTCCAGATACTATCTTTCTCCTTGACTTTTTACAGAGTGACCAGATATGGACCCGAATCAGCACCCTAGATCCAAATTGCCCAAGTCTTCTCCGATCTAGATGTAGATCTAAATTTCTAAGTGTCCAAATATAAAATAATTGATTCACACGCCCTGGGATTTTAGAGGCAGTCCTGAAAAAAAAGACAGGCTTGGAACTAGTTTTTATGGATTCATCTCTAATAGGACTGACAATACCTGTATATAATCTGTGCAGAGGGTCAGAACAAGGCCTGTGCTCCATTTAAATCCCATTAAATCTTCGATGTATTATTCATTGACCCGTCAGGCCAGCTCAGGCAAACCTAGCTAATTCCCTTGGCTCTTGATGTTGAATGGCAATCAGTCTTCTAGGTTTGGAGAATAATACTGTCAGATATTTGTGTTTCCTTCAATCTAAGGGTTTGAAACAAATATGAAGGACCGCAGTTGCATTGGGGTATGCCAGTGTTCGGAGTTGGCACTGACTGTATGTAGCACAAATTGCTAGATTTAATTTCTCTAGAACTGGGGACAAATTCGAAAGTACGTCTGGTATCTTCATTCGCTAGCCCATTCAGTGCCTTTAGGTGTCTACAAACCAAATCTGCAGAAAGTGCATGTTGGGAAGTGGAAACATTTACAGGGAAGAGGAGAAAACACATCTTTTGTTATCCTTTTCAAGTGACCTTAACCAGAGATGGAGAGGAGATATATCTTAGAGAGCATCTGCTAGCTTTATAGGCAAAATCATTTGTGCCTGAAATTCTGCATGCCTCAACATTTGTGGGAGTAATTAGGAAAATGTCAATGCCTAATTACCTATTTGAAGTCACAGACCATTATGTTAGATGATGGATGTCTGTCGCATGTGCCTGAAAATGATAATTTCGGCAAAACTGCAGATGCAAACGATTTTGCGCTCGCCACCAGGGACCAGTGTTTAAGGCTGGATCCTCGTCTGAAGTCAGTGCGCATTCCAGATGAGGATCTGAATTTTAAAGGTTGTTTCGAAAATACAGCGCTATATTCAAAATGCTCTCTATGCCACTTCCGGGCAGTGAGGGGCAGTGCAATAACCTGATACAAACTCCTACAGTGTGCTACTGAATATTTCAGAGAGGGGAGAATTCGACTGGTCATCCGAACCCGTTTTTTGTCTTGTGGCGTTGTGCAAATCCCCGCGTCCTACGGATTGTGCGTTCAGGGCCCAAGGCTTGCCTTCTTCGTCCAGTAGCGTGGTCTTGTAAGGTTCAACGTATATCCTGCGGATGTTCTGCCTCGATTCCTCATACTTGCCTTTCCCGTCTTCTGGAAGGCTTGTCGTATGAAGTAAGAAAGTGCTCCGAGGCCCATCAGCGGGAAATTGCTGCTCTTGGGATAATTCGGTCGCTCTCATGAGATGCTGTGTGTACACCCCCTCGGAGAGCGACGCAGGCTGAGTCTCGCTGTGCACGCGCAGCCAGCGATGGTGCCGGCTGAAGTAGTTATAGTGCTGATGCTTCCCCAGCTTTTTTTTCCCCAAGAAGCTCAGAGCCTGCCTGGAGCCGGAAGTCTTCTCTGTGCTTTTTGACGTCAGCCCTGCTATCGTCAGACTGTTCATGTACTCCGTGCAATACTCAGCGTTAGCATCCAAGGCACTGCTCGCTTTCGGATCCTCTTTCAACGTCAGACAAGGCTTCATGTCGTGTACTTGGAGAACATCAGGTGCGCTACCACCCAGGCCACCGCCTACCTGCTGGGATATATCATGCGGGGAGGAATAAACTAAATCTAGTTCTCTGGGGCTCAATGCATCGCTGGAATCGTAGTCGCTGTCGGTTGGAAGAAACACTTCAGAGCAGCCTTCTTCATCCGAGCAGGGCTGGGAATCTGAAAACAGAACAGATTAGCTACTAACCGGACATGCACTTAGAAGAGCTGCTTAAATGCCATTAGCGTATATTCTTCTTAACTTGGAAGCAAAACGAATATTGGCCAAGCTTCTGGCAATATCTGTGTATTTCCTTTGTGGAATTTTCCACCCAGCCAGATGACAGTAGCACAGACAATAGCGGTGGTGGATTTATGGCTGGTAGAGGACAGCAAGAACTAGGAAGGGCAGACAGAATTTATGTGGTGAAAGGAGGACAGCAAAAGAGAAGCACTGGGGATGAGATGAAATTTGAAAATGACTCATTTTCTGTCATTTGATTTTCACTAAATATCATGGGGCTTGACATTTGAGACACAGAGAATCCTGTCATTGGAGTCATTCTGGTTTTACACCTACTTAACTGAGAGCAGGAGATGGCCTTGTGTATTTTTAATGGGAGTGGCAAAAAAAAAAAGTTTGACAGCAGGATGAACAAACTGCTTTTGTCTTTCTAGGGTTTAGAAGGCATGTCCAAATCCAAAATGGACCAATTGCACCCAGGGGTGAATGTGGTAATCAAAGTTCAGCCCAGCTATAGCACTGAAGTCATTGCAATTCTCCAACCATGGCAAAATACGGGCCAAACGCTACAGCTGATGTGGCGTATGTGCCATGGCACGTTTGATTCTCTAGTGTCCTTCACTATAGGTAGCCAGTTGTATCACATCAAAGCACATACAAACCGGGTATAAAATAATACCCATTACTCACTTTGCATTTGTATAAGCTACCACACACCATGGGGAATAACACATTAGTTCCACACAGGGGACAGAATATATTCTGAATTGCATGGTGTTAATGCCAAGTATCTCTACTGAAGTCAACAGGGCTATTCTGCATTTACATCACGTTATGAATAGCAGAAATTGGCCCAGAGACCGGGGGGGGGGGGGGGGGGGGGGGGGGTGTCGAATCATCACTGTATAATGGATTAAACTGACATATGCTTGTACAAAAGCCACAGTTTCCACTCAATTTCTTTGGGTTTTCTTTTAATCTAATAAGAGCAGATTTACGTGGTTTCCTTGGCTGTAGGAAAATGCCACTGAGGAGTTGAAATAAGTTATTACAACTGAAATGGTCATGGCAGTTGTTCAATGCAGCGTCTGTAGCTTTTGTTTCTACCATGTCATTAACTCATTGTTAATGACAACTCAGCAGAATGATGGTTTACTTTTTTTCCCCCAAAGTCCTTATCCTATTAAAAATATATATATATAAAAATCAGGTGCTTCTGCTTAATTTGCTTCCATTCTCTGTGCTGCAATCCTTTTCTTTCATCAGTTTAATTTTCCAGCTATTCAGAGAAGCAATAACAGACAATAAAACGGGTTTAACGTTTCACTTATTTGCTTAACTTTGTGTTCTGGAGGGTCCGTGTAGGACACGGGAGACAACGAGCTAGCCGAATGAATTAAGCCAAAGTGGACCCAATGGCTCTAAGAAGTCAGCTGTTCCATCAAACCAAAACTGAATGATCACAGGAAAGAATGAATGCAAAAACAGAGAACTGTCCAAAGGTGGAAGGAAAGGATGGCCAGGGGTCACCACGAAACACTTGGCTCCAGTCTTCTGCAATATTCTTTGGTGTCTCTAGGGAACACTGAGCTCTCACACAGAAGATACATTTTCAGCAAGCTCTTAGTACTTTTATTTCCCATTTTATGGCTCAAAAGATTGAATTTCTGTGGATGAAATTCATCCTTGCGCAGGCCAGCCTGGAGACCAGATCCTCAAAACAGGGATTATGATACCTAAAGATACCTACAGTGCTTGCTCTGTGCATAGGGATGCATATCACCTCCGACTGATTAGTGTTTTACAGTATGCAGTCATTAATTCAGTGTACAGTCTTCACCAAAGTCATTGCCTGAGGTCACAACTAAGTGACAGGATCTAGGACGTTATGCCTCCCAGTGCTGTGGTCCTTCCTACACCCACTCTGCCTCCTAAGCACAGCATGAAGTGAGCTGGCTAATGAATTCACTAATGAATACTGATCTTGGGTTTTAGGCATGGGATTCCTGGGGACAGGAGGCTGGGATATCATGGCACAGCAGACAGCTTCAGCATGCAAGGCAAATCAATAACTGCAAGTCGTTATGTCTGAATGGCTTCTAACTGCTCAACAACAGAACAACCGCTTGCCTAGCTGGCTGGCAAAACTAGTCTGAGACACATGGCTGGCTTGGTAACAATGACTATTAGGTAGTATCTTTATTGGCACAGGTATATGGGCTCTGAGAATAAGATCCCTCAGGGAAGGGAACATTTTAGGAGACCCGCTCTTCAGGAAGGGAAACAAGACCAGGCTGGGTCTCAGGAGCTCAGTAAAAGATTGTAATCTCGGCCTGTTCTATTTCTGCAACTCAAGAGGGAAACCTTAGCTAAACGAACGTGTAATGAAGCCTAAGATTAAAATTATACTAACTTTGCTGTTTTGGAGTAATATCCCCCATGTTTTGCTACACGCATCAAACGTTAGTTACTATCTCACTGGTTGCAAGCTCCTGAAGGTGTCCTTGATGGTGTCCTCTTAGACAAGGATGGAGCATCCCCACTCCAAGAGTGGGAGAACTGCAAAACTCTACATCAAGACAGAAGGGACATGGGTCTTCCCAACTGAGGAGATGTGTTTAGAGCAACGAGCGATGAGTTGGAAGAAAGGGTAAGTTTTGAATAAAACAGCCACCCCAAACCCCGGCAGATAACATCTGTGCACCCAACAGTTAGCTACTGCAGCTGGAATGCTGAATGGCGCTGAAGGACCCTAAGCACCAAGGTCATGTTGGATTTTTTAGGTTCATTTGAAAATCCCAATGTATATGTTAATTTTGCCTTGTCTGGTTGACTTCTTATGAGCAGAACAAATGAGGGATAGAGATCTCTGTTGCCCACTGAGAATCCATCCACTGACTTCAATGGGCACTGGCCTGGAGACCCAAAGTGAGGGGCATGAAAGCAGAGAAGACCATTTTGAAGCTGTTGGGGTGGGAAAGGCATTTTGTGGGGGGGGGCCTGACAAAGCAGTATGGTGGGAATGGGGGAAGGAGAGGAATGGGTGCCACTGGCACGGCGATGGAAGAGAGTGATTCTGCAGTGACTGGACGACTGTATTAGAAGGTTTCTATAGCTATAATTGCCATAATTTGTGATTATGCAATTTGACAGGCCGCTGCTGAAGGTAAGATTGGAGTCTACTGTCATCTGATACCTCCATGCTTCCTTTAAGCTTATTTTATTCAATGTTTGGCTTAAATTAAAGAAAGACAAAACCAATTACAACCAGAAGAATTACCAAAACACCTCAATCAGCCTGGAGATAATATCACTGATGAGCTCCCAGTGTAAAATGTGGAGTTCAGTGGGTTATCCTGATTTTCTACTTTGTTTCCCTGAGCAAACTGAAACAACAGGGGGAAAAAAAAATCTCATTCCTTACCACTCAAAGCTTTTCTCCTCTGGCTCCTAAGTTCTGGTGATGGTGGTGGTGATGGAAGACAGTCTAGATGGGATGATGTTGAACTTATCTTCTTCTGAATCTGTTCTTCTGAAAGGTCCACAAGTTTCATGATGGGAAATCCAGCTGCTGGCTGCTTGTACCTGGCATACTGCAGCGCTTCAGTGATCCATCGCATTTCACGCCAGATCTCATCAATTTGCTTCAGAGGAAAAAGAAGAAAAAAAAAAAAAGGGGGGGAGAGAGTGGTAAAATGCTGCAAATTGCCCCATATTGGAGGTAATCGTTTTGGCTTCCTTTGAAAGCCTACTGAAATGGTTTTTTTATGTATTTATTTTTAAGCCAAAGCTTTGAGAGGCATAGAATTGCTGCTTGTCCAAATCTGCTATAAAACTACTACAACTGATGGAGCATAGATGAGAAACAGGGAAGTCCAGCTCCAACCCAACCTTTAAGGCATATCCCTCTAGCCAACATTCAAGGTCTGGCCTTTCCTTAGGGTCAGATTTATTTCTAACCCAGGATGCCTGTTCATTACTTGAGGCAGCTTAAGGGGTTTTAAAAGTTGGTTTTATTCTGCAGTGAAATAAAACCAAGACTCTTTGAACATTTTTGTCACAGGGGTATGTCACAGCGCTTAATCTGATTTTTCAAGCAAAACCTGAGCTGTTCAATTGAGGAAGTAACTCTGCACGTGTTTGTGCTGAGGGTTAGGGCGCCCGCCTGGCCTGGCGGGGAGACAGACTCAAGTTTCTATTCAGAGCAGAGTTTTTCATCCTAGATTGTTCTGAATCAGACAGAACGAGCACTTGAAAGTAAGACTCCCACATCCCTGCCCACCGCAGTAAGTGCCAGTCACTCTGTCCCCCTTTGGCATTACTATGCCAACTGAAATCAGTGGGTGTTGTATAGGTGCACTCAAAAGGGTCCCTTTAAAGTGACGCTTCCCAAAAGCTGTGAGCTTTCTCCCTGGATCTTGGATACACTCTACTTATATTTCTTTTATAAGATTATAACAAATGTCCATTGCAGTCAATGGAAAGACTCCTAATTTCAAAGGGCTCGGGGGATCAGGTCTATAATTGGTAATGTGGGTAACAACATAGTGGGTAAAGAGTTTGAAGCAATATGTTTGCACTTTAGATCCCTGCTTTACAAAGAATGGCCTTGATTCAGCTCTCAGTTGCCCCAGTGGTCTATTGAAATAGATGAAGTTAAGTGGTACAAAATGAGAGAATTAGGCTTGCTGTTTTATGAAATTATGGTCCAGAGCCACACAAAGAGCAACACACTAGAGAATTAATTCCTCTGTGCATCCACAGAGAAGGAGTAACACAGACAACAGGCTTTTACCCTTCTCCATTTGCTGGGCTAAGGGATCTCAGCATTGACCTGCAAGGCCCAGCTCCAGGACTGACTAAGAAGCAGTTCAGGTTTTCCCCCCCATTTAACCCTGGCCTTTTCAGCCGAGACGGCTGTCCAGGGGTTAACTAGCACGGTGGCAATATTCTGGGAGCTGGACCAAGTCCGCTGACATATTTCTCCAGAAGCACTAAGCAGATATTAGACCTTATTTATTTATTGTTTTGGTTGCTCTGAAAGACAAAACACCCATCTCAAACTCTAGTATACCGGTTCATTATTCATAAAGGGAAAGCTGTAAAACTGCACTGGATCAATAACCCTAAATCCCTCGCTTTATCTTCCCGTAAGCATTTTTAGTCTGCACCCATTTCATTAAGACTAATGGGAATTGGGTCTGTACTGAGCCCTAGTTCCATGCATGACACCCTGGCCCGTGGCAGCATGTTTAAACCGATGGCAGGATGACTTTAAGTGTCTGTCAAAGCAAGACATGGGCCTTACTGTGGATCATGAGAGTCTTTTGATAATAGCATTCAAGGGTTATCTTTAATCAGTTCAAATGTTTTGAAGACTAAGTGGATGGCATTGCAGCTGGTTCAAGGGATGTAACAGTGGGTACAATACCCCCCGATGCAGTACCCTTCTCTCAGATCTCTCTGGAAAACCACATCGCTGCATCCTTTTAGCATAGGCTCCTGTTCACAAGGCAAGACCGAGCACTAAGGAATACCTCCAAAAATACTTATATCAATTATCCTCAAGTCAAAGTAGTCAGACGCAACAGTAAGGTTAAGGACAATGGCAGGAGAAGGGTTCAAGTGTAAAGGGTCTAAAGTAAAATAACTTTCATTGAACTGGCAGTTGGTGACCATGCAGAAGTGAGCAGTATCCGGGTGTGCGGGGTGTGGGAAACAGAGGTGCAGTGCAGAAATCAAGTTAGTAGGAGGCTACAGTTTATAGTGCCTGTCTTCCAGCACATTCACAGAGTTCATTTTACACTCATTTTGTCTTGGTGCAAATGACTGCAGAAGAGGCAGGACAATGAACCATCAGATCCTTTATCACACTCATAGAATTTGGCACACAGACTCCCTCCACGACAGCTGCAGCCTCTTACCCTAATTAGGATTCACAAGGGCAGTATGAAATATGCACAGTGAAAATCACAGGGGCAATACTGCAGCTCCTCTCCAAACTGCATGTGGAAGGATTAATTTCTTTATTAAAAAGCATATCCTATTGCTTTTCTCTCTGATGCCATTGTAAGGCATCTCCCAGGATAACGGACCAGTCATATTTAATGAACTGGGCTTCTTTTTCATCTTTAGAGTATTTGAAGTTTTTCACTGTATACATAATAACTCAGCTGCAATTTCAGCATCGGCACTCGAGTACACGTTTGCCTTTTCATTCTGTCTAACATGCGGGTTAGGACTCCAAGTACCTTATCTACTATTTTATTTTTACTCTTGCTTGCCCTCCAACTCCTTTTCAGAACAGCATGTATATAGGCTCCTTTGCTCTTTACAACGTTTGGTTTGTGTAGTGACTTCAACACTGTTTTAGATCTGGGATCACACAAATGCTCTTGCGGTTTTGTGGTTGCCACTGAAGGCTGCGCCATGTGGCGGGCTGAGAGGTTTTTTTGCCAATAGGTAGAATACAGATGGTTTTCATTTGAGAGGAAACCTGACAAGGCTAATACACTGTCACAATCATTCAGTACAAAACCCTGAGGTTTGAAATACTCTCCTGTGTTTTCCTGAGAATTCGATTAGGAATTGAAACACCCCAGAGGTGTAATACCTATGTCTATAATGCCCATGCAATTAATATACATCTGTTTTTTTTCTTGCACGAAGGGTGAAAGTCACCCAGAAGCCCTCAGGCACTAGGATTCATATGGCTGATGCAGTGCGGGGTTGAGGGGGAACAACTGAGGCAGAAGCACAATAGGACGTGCCGCCATGCAAGGCCCCATAGCAACTCCAAGGAGTCAAGGCAAAGGGGGATCTGGGTACAGGGCAAGGGACAGCAGAAACACAGCCAACAGGTATGCACATATATGTGCCTGCAACAAAAGCCCTTCAAAGAAGGTCAAACAGTAATCTCGGCCCCTCTTTTAATTAGCGTCGGCCCCAAAAGAAGATCATAAAGGCTGTATAGATTATTTGTGCCCTAGGTAGATTCAGTGCAAAACCAGCACTGTGCTGAGGTTGCACCCTGGTAGAATTAATGACCAAATGGTTTGCAAGAGCCAAGCCCGACATAAAAGAGCCCCTGATGGCTAACCTGCCCCTGCTTTCTTCTTTGGGATGTCACTGGAGAAGACTCTATCCAGATCATTTTCATTGCCAATAATCTCTAGATACAGCATAAGCTATTGCCAGAACTTTTCATTTTCTTTTTGTCTTTGCAACCTGGCAGTGAAAAAAAGAAAAAGCATCCTCTGAAAGAGAGAGCAGCCACGCTGCAAATTCAGGCTTGCTGCCCGCATGAAAGAGAGAACTCTTAGAACCAGAACTCGGACATTTTCTTGATAACATTTTAGTGCAACCATCACTTGATTTTTATCCATATTTTTCTCGCTTTCTTTTTTTTCCTCTCCCTGTTTTTTTGTGAGGTTTTTTTTTTTTTTTTTGTGGTAAAAGCAACAAACCAAAGGAATCATGTTGTGGGGCTGGATTTCATAAAAACAAAATTGTACGTCTGACACAAGTGGTCTTTTAATAATGTTGTGAATAATTGTCCATTGAGTTTCCATACAGCTCCATGCCACTTTTGAGAAACATCTTAAAAAGTCTCCTTGAACTAGTCAGAAACAGACTGTTACCTGTATATAGTCTAACACTTGCTGGTGTCTTTGTTTGGCTGCAGCGACTTCACTGTCTGAAATTGCTTCCCTTAGGGACTGCTGGGTTTTCAGAGAGTCCAGCTCTATGACAGCAGAAAGGCGGCAATACAGACTAATAAATTTCTCCTTGTAACAGCAAAAATGAACTGTGAAAAGGGCAGAGCAAAAAAAGAAATAGTGTTATAGTCTGGTCCTGAAATGCTGAAATCTTTCTTTCTCAACACCAGTTCTAATTAACCGTACGTATTAAAACCCTTGATAGAATATGTTCAGGCAGAAATAAGTGACAAGGGCTGGATTCCCTTTTTTCATACTCTGGTATAACCGCACTGACATCCCATATAGTCTGACAAATGGCTCCTGTTTGGGGATCTACCTCTGTTGGCTGTCTCCAGACTCCGCATTTCCCTGGCACGCATGGTGTGCTACACAGCCGCGGGCTTGCTTTCACGACAAAGTTAGTTTGAGCTGGACCTCAAGTTGTTGGTCCCATCCACAGATCAACACCCTCAATTCAAGGTGGCCAGCCCAAGAGCAGACAGGCTGAATCAGCATCTCGACAGGTGTTAACAAGACAAGTTCCCCCCATTGAGAGAGAATTCAAGGAGCGGCTCAGGAGCCGTGCCACGGAGAGGTGACGTGGCAGCGAGGGGGTTTTCCTGCAGTGTGGCCACCCTCGCTTCAGCTGGGCTACGCAAGGGCCCTAATTCACGTGCAGTAAAGACAGTTGAGAAAATGCCAGTCTGAGTGGATTAAGCTTTTCATATGTCCTTCACTACATATCATCTTCTGCCTGCTTATGCAAAGAGAGAGAAGGGAACCCAGAATTAAAGCTTCACTTAGTGAAGATTTGATACTACCCTTGGGGGCTGCCTACACTGCAATCTGCATTATTCAAGCGGACTTTAATAGATATTAGGGCCTGGAAGGGACCTCTTGAGATCATCAGGTCCAGCTGCCCCACGCTTGGGGTCAGATGACCCCAGCAAGGTGAGCGTCCAGGTGTTTTTTTGAAGATCTCCAGAGTCGGTGATTGTACCACTTCTGCGGGGACTATATTCCAGTCCCTGGCTACTCGAGTTGTAAGGAAGTTTTTTCTTATGTCTAATCTAAAGTGGTCTTCTAGCAATTTATGACCGTTAGTCCTACTCTTCCCCTGGGGAGCCTTGATGAGGGCTCAATGGAGGCCTTGATGAGGGCCCAATGGAGGCAGTCTACCCACAGCAGCACAGAGCGTCGGGTAGGCTGATTTACCCTGCTTTTCAAAGCTAGGCTGCTCATGGGGGTCTATACACCACATTGCAGTCTGAAGCATAAGCCTGCCCTAAAACTTGATGAAGAAGACCAGACATTAAAACACCATCATGTTCCCATTCACTGACACAGTCTTGGGCACAGGTTTGTCATGGCTCTGAGTGGCAGCTGACTTGCTAATGCTGGTACCGGTCCGTGCTTTAGTCTGGGTTATTAACTATGTACCAAGGTAGCTTACCACATTTTAGGGGTCTTTGCACCCAATCCAAAACATGGACATAGAAATAAAAGAGGGCATCTCATGTAACATGATAGTCAAAATAGAAATTAAGCCATAAAAACTTTGCTATCCCAACAAAGACCGAATCTGAGTGAAGGGACCCCAAAGACGTGAGAGCAGAAAGAGAAACTTATGCTCAGCTTTCCGCTCTTACACCTTGGTCATGCAGAGATCTAGTCTGAATAGTGTGTGGTCTTCCATAGATATGCCATATGTGGTGCACTCTTGAGTGAATTACAGCCGCGGTTTCAGCTTCAGTGCTGGAGTTTCTAGCCTTTGTGGTTTTAAGTCAGACCCTTTAATGTTACTTTAACAAATGTTGCTTCAACATAGTCTTTTGTGGTTAGGCAATTATGCATTTGGTAGCCGCCAGCTAATGGGGAATGGAAGCTTCTAATACTTTAGATGTGAATCACAGCCATTTTATAGAACATTGGGGATACAGAAGTAATAAATCAGATAGAAAATGTCACCTGTGCATGGCCATAGGACTGCTTATTTTATTCCAAATGTAGAGCTCAGCTCTCAGTACTGTTCCTTCTGCCTCACTCCAGCTCCCAGGAGCCCAACTGTGCAGAGCGGGGTGGGCACAGACTGCCAGATTAGATATTGCCCTTGTCCTGCTGCCTGCAGCAAAGTGCACTGTCTACATTTCCCCATCCATTCCCATGGCCAGTGCCTAGGCTTTTTTCATCCTCATCCATCTATGCTGTGCCAGATTTTCTCCTGCCTTAGGCCACAGTGCAATTTAAGAAGCATCTGAAACCTGTGGCTGAATTCTTCATTCCTCCATTTCTGCATCACAAGTGGCATTAAATGTCATCTCAGGACTTCAAATGGTTGGACTCTTACCCATTGCCTCCTGCTAGTCTCTCCTTTGTACGCAGCCGGATTGAAAAACATGATCCTAATTCACGTTCACTACATGCTTTTAATGAATGCAGAAACTGAGCCATAGCTCACCACCATTTTCTACTGTGCAACTAAGTGCACTCTTACATCTCCACCTTTGAGAGTGCCAACATGCAAATCTATGTGACCCACTGAAACGCAGGAGAGCTGATCAAGTGCAGGACACCCGTGGCCCAGCGAGCATTGGGCCACGAGCTGCGCTGCACATTTCCGATGGAAAATAAATGCTGTTTGTAGAGATGTGTTCTCGTGGTGTGAATCGCATAAATCAGGCCAGCAATCCGTGACAGGTTAATGGGGAGAAGGAGGTCTGCAGACTGCAGCCTGGTTTTGGTGCTTCACGCAGGGGGGAAAAAAAGCACCCTTAAAAGCAAGGGATATATTTAAAACTATCCTGATCTGCGGTGTACAGTGTCAGGTACAAGGTGTTCCATCTTTTGCAATCAGGCTTCTCACCTGGGCCCCTGGCAGGTTTGGGAATGGGGGTCTTTGCCTCGGCAACTGCACAGAGCCACATCTCGGCTACCAGGCATTTCATTCACATAAGGTCTGTTCTCACCACCAAACTTGCATCTCGTGCTGCCTTCCCTTTTCATCGCTGAACACAAGGCACCATCTCCCCAGCCCAGCAAATAGTAGTTTTCCTCCACAGCCCCCCAGACTCTCCTCCTCAGCAAACACAGCTAAAGCACGGCTTGGACGAGCACCTGGCTGGGGTCGTCTGACCCCAGCGCTCTTTCCTGCCCAGGACTCGATGATCTACCGAGGTCCCTTCCGACCCTAAAATCTATGAAATCTATCTAAGGGGAGAAAGAGGGAACAAACAGGGCCCCTGCCTCCCTGGCTGTGTACAATATGTCAGGCTCAGCAGCTTCCCCTCTTCTCCTGTCCCAGCCCTATGAAAAGCACTGGGAGCTCCTTCTGGTCCCTCCTAGATCCTTCTCTTGGGGTAAAGCGGGGACAGAGACCTCAGGGGCTGTGCAAGCACATCTACCTCTTCACTTCCCCATTAGCCAGGCGGGAGCTCGTGCTCCTGCAAATGCCACTCCAGCCAGCAGTGGAGCAGGAAAGCTGGACTGGTTGCCACGCAGTTACAGGTGAGAGTCACTGTCCAGTGCCTTCAGTATACAGTGATATTAGTCTCATAGCACTAAGAAGTTTACTGCATTTTGGGCCTGGCACTTCTGCAGGATGTAAAGCAAACAGCTGCCTGTAATCTGGGAAATTTAGCCCCGTACTTCCACAAAGCTCCCATGGAGTGGGACCGTCTATAAGTAAAAAGCTGCACTGGTTCTTCAACATAAAACCACCAGCTCTTTGCCTTGACCTTTTCCAAGATGATGCAAATCCTACTTCAGAATAAAGACTTTTTAAAATTTTAACACATCTGTTTTCATCAGGTCAACCTTGGCATCGAATGGGCCATATTCTCCTTTTAAAGAACATCGTCCTGCATAACACGTGAAGGCATGTGTTTGATAACTATGCTCCTCGCTCTATGCTTTGCATGGCAATAATGGTGGCTACAGCAGAAACGCCAGTCGCTTTGCTCCCTCTGTAACTTGTACACAGTTCTCGGGAGCGTTGCTGCCAAAGCGATCATGTGATTTATTGACTCTCCACTGGGACAAGAGGGAAAACAGATACAACTTTGTGATTTTATTATAAGGAGGCTGGGTTAATATTTCGAGGTAAAGCAAGCTACTATACCGAGTTCAAACATCTGAAGAGGGAGGTTAAGAAATCCTGAGTGTGGGGTGTAAGGATTATTCTGTCCTGGGGCAGTGCAGACGTCGTCTGAGGCGGGGAGCAGGAGAAGAAAGGAGACATTGTGACCCAGTTCCAACACCTCCTGTGTATACAGACGGAAGTGCTTAGCCTACAGAGGGACACGCGCAGGGAAAGGAACGGGAGAGAATTACAACATGGCACTTATACAAACAACACTCCCAATGATATAAAACATTAAAGAAAATTTGCACGACATCAAGCTCCGAATTTTTATAAAACATAAATATTAGGGGGCTTAAATGCGGGTTAATGTCACTACATAAAATACAGATTTAAAGCTGCAATGTTCCACATTAAAAAAACCAACGCGTGCACACATAAACAACCCCCGCCCCCCGAAAACAACATTTATGTTTCTTATTAGGCAGAAAATGATCACATGCCATGCGCTTTTCAAGATTATGATTGTATAATTATGTGAAAACATGAAAATGGATTCAATTAAAAACCTTTAAGATTCAATTTAGAGTCGGTTAAGAGAAATATGCAGCTTTCCCCCAACAGGGCACTGAAAAGATTTAACAAGTGCTGCAGCAAGAGAAAAGGCACATGTAGTGGGTGGCTACAGGCTTTTCTGTAACCACGATGTAAAGCGTGGTCTTTGCTCTGCAATTGTCTGGATCGTGACTTGGCTTCCAAGGTACTGCTGCAGTCAAAGTAAGGGCTGCAAATAATATTTCCCAAGTACTTGGGGTGAATCTAAAATTAAGGTCCCTAATTCAGAAATAAGGTCCTGATGACATTACATGTTTAATTTTCAAGGATGTGCTTATGCATGTCATGGGTTGGTGGTGGACTTAAGCCTGGGTTTAAGGGCATGGTTTTTTTGCCTCCCTACCTACCATCTGACACCTCCAGGGAAGGAATCCGACCTGATCAACACATCAAAGAGCTACTCAACACAGCTCACAAAGACACTGTCATGGACCCAGAGGGACAGACTTCCATCATCAGCTCCCTCTGTGCAAAAATGAAGTTTATTTCTGACCTATGGGGACTTTTTACCATCTTGTGCCATCTACACTTTTCCCAGAGCCTGACGAAGAGACTTTGATTCCCGAAAGCTTGCAGAAAAGGACAATTTTCTTGCCATTTTCCAGTTGGTCTAATAAAAGGTAGCATTTTGGAACCAAGAGTTCTGGTTTTTTGTACGTCTGGTTGAGTCAGCAGGACCCCACAATTTTTAACTGAAGTGACTTGGCGCGAAGGCTGCTAATCTAACCCTGAGCATTAGCATGGAGCCCTGCATTGAATGCCCCTGACATCAGTGCGGCTGGCAACGTGTCAGCATACAAACAGTGCCTTGCATGGCTCTTACTTGGATCCTGCCTGGGCAGAGCAAGACTGCACTGGTAGATTTTACATCTGAGCCAGGCCTAAGCACAACTCTTCAAAATGAAGCAAGTTTCACTGAAAACGGGGAACGTGGTTCTCATTTGCCATGGGGCCATGCTACACCTCTTGAGCAGTGTAAACAGGATTTGCAAGGAGTGCAAGGCTGATTCACCGCTTCTTTTAGCCCCCTCGAAACTGAAACAGCAGCGGGAGGGTATGGACGTCTGATCCACGTGAGTTATCAGACTGCTGGGACTTACCCTGGAACGTGGCGGCTATGTGTGCATGCAGTTACCCGGTGCTAAGTGAGCAGCTTCCCCTGCAACGGATCTCTTCCCATGGGCTAAGTGAGGGCACACAAATAATTACTTGCTCGGCAGCAAGTTCTCAGCCTCTCTGAACTCACTTAAATTTGATCGTTTGCTCATAAACTCCGAGGGCCTTCCTGTGACATCCTGGCCCCATGAAAGTCAATAGGAATTTTGCTGTTGACTTCAGCGGAGCTGGGATTTCACAGACACTGCAGGGAAGCTGGAACCTGCTCCCACCTACCATGTCCTTGGTCAGGTGACGGAGGACTGTAGTCTTCAGGACTTTCAGTCTGGAAGACGAGCTACATTTGCAGAAGCACTAACTTTGCACAGGGTGGGAGAGGATTAATAGAGAGTTTCACACTGGAGTGGGTGTTTTCAACAGGCCACCTTATCTGCACTTCCAGGGCCGGCAGGTGCCAGGGTTTGCAGGAACATGCAAATACCTACTGGTCTTGGCTGGGGAAAAGTGCTTCCAAACTACCTGATGTGCATGAAAAAGGGTTTCTATACATGTAAGTCTGGATGCCTATTCAATAGCTGCCCGTGTGAACAGTTTTATTCCTATACCTTCATAAATCCAGAAAAAGAGTCTTTCCTGAAGGAGCTCTTCCCATCATACAAAGTAGCCTTAACTAAACTTCCCTTGCTTTTCTTTTACAACAATAACAATGAATCCCTTGTAGAAATATATAGGTTTTTAGCTTTCGTACAATTTCCCAAGCAGCAGCTTTTTAAAAAAAAAGTGATAAATACCACCAAGCATAATACCTGGTGTAGAGGTAGATTGATCTGTTTAAGGAGTGCTTTCACTGCCATCTGGAGCTCATAGAAGAACAATTGAGTAGGGCAGTCTGATGCATGATCCATACTTTCCACAGATTCTGAGCCAGAAAAGGTTTGGATCCATTCCCACTCATCTCTGTATGTTGAGTCAAGTTAAAATTAGAAATAAAACAAAAGTTCAGTGCGCAAGGAAGAATTTTACTGTACGTGCATTTGGGATCTGCTGATAGTTTTCTGCTGATCTTCATATAGTAAAATGTTCTAAAATTATTCAGTCCTGGTCGTTTGTAGTTAAACATCCAATTTTGAAAAGCATCCTATTTAATTGCTCTAACACGTACATCAAGCTGAGCATTCTTGCTAGCATCTGAGAATCAACACATTTCCCTTTGAAGTATTTCAGTAAGCCTTTCCCCGCCAAACATGCACTCCAGTCTGCACCTTCTACTACCTTGTTAAAAGCAAATACTGGATGGACTGTAGTGGTATACAATGATGATTTCAATTTTATCTCTGCCTCCTGTCCTCCCCCTCTCTGGTTAGATTTCAACCCTAGATCCGATAAGCACAGGAATTTTCAAACCCAGGGTCTAGTTTTCCATCTCTGACAGCAGCCAGATGCTTCAGAGGAAGGTGCACAAAAACCTCACAATAGGAGGGATAGTAGATGTGAGGATAACCTACCCTTACATAAAGGGCTGGTCCTAATCCTTAGTAGTTAGAGGTTGCTTTAAACCCTGAAGCATGAGGTTTTATATTGCTTCCAAAATTGTTGTTAGCCTTTACTACTATGCTCTGGATATTTCTGCTATCCACATAAATATCCAGCTGCCCTCTGAACTGCACCATATTCTCGGCTGGTTGATGGAATCACATGAAATTAAGAAAAGAAAAGAAAATACACTGCCCCATGCACGAGATCTTGGCAGTCTCAACCGGAAAAAGCAAAACCCCATACCATCCCAAAGCATGGCAGTTCCAGAGCAGATAGCATTGGTTTGAGCATGAGCTTTCAGTCTTCATGTAGCTGATATATTTTTTTAGGGACAGAAAGAGGCTAGATACAATGAAGGTATCACTGTGCAGAGGGTTCAGTCTCCTGTAAGCCTACATAACACACACACAGGGCCTGATCCAGTGCCTCTGGCAAGTCAGTAGAAAAACTGTCACTGAACTCACCGGGTGCTGGACTACATCCGTGGGCATGGATAGCTTAGTTGCTCTGGAGAACCCTTGCACTGAATGCAGACTCCCTAGATCATGGTGTTAGGGCTTGAGGGATATCCTTTGGAAGTGGATGGCATTTCTGACCTGTGTGGGCTTTGGATGAAGCCCCGAGTGTATTGGAGGGATGGACATGAACACATGCACATTTGAAACCAGTAATGATCTCATTAGTACATAGCTTGCACTAAACTGTGATGATAATATACTAGATCAGCCAACAGCAGATTGACTGGGGTTACACGGTTATGGCAGAGAGGAGAATTTGACCCTTTGTTGGAATGAGTAGACTGCCAACCTGGCAGACTGTTGATAAGCAATGTGCAGTACAGTTCAGAAATAAGTAAATAACAGACTCCAAGGGCTTGATCCTACAAGGCGCTAAAGTCCCTGGTCCTGATCCAGAAGATCATGTAAACGCATGCTTACTTTTAAGCACACGAGTCGTTCTGCTGACGTTGATGCTTTGGTGCTCAAATGCCTCTACAGTTCACAGCCAGGTGTCTCAATGCCTTGCAGGATGTCAGTCTCTGAGTTCATGTTTTACCTATTTAATTCTGTACAATTCTTGACAACACTATTATGATGATAAGTATTAACATTTAATCATCTGCATCTTCCGGTTCTATTTATACTGTGGATTTCACACTGGGTTCCCACACAAACAGAAGTGGTTCACACACTTGGGATTAAAATTATTTCAAGTCAAGCAACTGCTTCAGGCTTACTAAAAAAAAAAAAAAAAAAGGCACTTACTTGGAAACGTTGCTGTTGTCTCGTATTTTAACATGACACAGGATGTTGGGCAGCTTTTGCAGGACAAGAACTTTGATTTGATCGACAGAGCTGCAGAGTTTAAGGTAACCCAGGTACAAGCCGGGAGGGAGGCGCTGCTGACTTCTTTTGTGATAGGAAAGTGTGTCCTGTTTGAAGAGAGACATAAAAATCTGATTTTTTTTTGTCCTGCACAAGGAGAAGGGTCTGGAATAAAAAAGCAACTAATGGCTTTTACAGCAGGCCAATTCAGCAAAGCAAATCCCTCTTCGGGGTGGAGTTGTTCTCCTTGATGCACCAGGGGCAACTGGTCCATGAGGTCAAGCACACATGTAATTGTTTCACTGGATGAGATGCTGAGAGAGCTCCACCGCTTGGAAACAACCGTCCTTTGAAACAACTATTCACCTGATACAAGAAGTAGGTTGCAGTGTTGAGACTGTGTTTGCTGGTCTGGGCTCTGGGTAAAGCGTCTAGGGAACTTGTTCTACATGGTTCTCTGTGTGCATCAGTAATGAAGGACGTAACGTTTAGCAGAAAACAAAATTTACTGTCAAGTGACTGGCTGCATTTTCAATACAATGGTCTTTGTCATCAGAAAGAGCTTAGAAAGAATTGGCACCGAGGGTCCGTGTACTGAAGCCATGAGACATTTACTGGGCTATTTATAGCTTTCCCCAAAGACTGTTTTTATAAATGAAGTTGACTGCCATCCGGAGTAATGTGTGCCTTTGCAACGGGTGAGGATTAAGCCACCTGGCTTTATGCCTTCACCCTTGGAACCATCAAATTATCTGCCAGTGCTATGCTTGGCTCTCACCGGTGCAATTAGATCCTCAGTTTCACAAGCACTTCATGAACAAAATACCCACTTGACGATTAAACAAGTAACACAAGAAAGGGTGGGCATTAGATAGGAATGTGTAAGCCATTAGGGCAAAAAAAATTTCCACTAGGATCTCTGTGGAAACCTGATCAGACTTGTATTTGGGGTTTCCTAATATAAAACTTCTGCCCAGATTGGGATTTTTCTGCACCTATAACACATTTTAAAGCCGTAAGTCTAGTGTAGGCCAGGTATATTTTATTACCCTTTGGAAATCTTTTAACTTACCCCAAACTCTAACCTGATTACCTGTCAGTTTCTGGTACCTGACAGCAGAGAAGAAAGTGATGCTAATTAGCCACAGTAGTCAATATTTAATTGAACTAACGAGAGAGGCAAGGCAATGACTTGATTTGAAGTATTTCTAATGACTCTTGTGATCTGTTAGGTTTAGAGATCAGAGATATTTTGAGATGCACCCTACTGTCAGAAACTTCTATTGATTTTGATCTGATTTATGTGCATAATGCAATAGAAGGATGAATCTCTAATAGACGTGATTCTGCCCAGTGCCGAGAACTCCCCAAATCCCACTGATGTGGGATAAGAATTGAGTGTGCTAGGCACCCTCCAGGATTAAGCCCATTATTCCAACATCAATCCAGCCTAGAAGCCCGAGAAGAATTTAACCTGAAAACTAATGGGAGGATGGGTCAGGAATGAATTTAGGAGGGACTGATGGCAGGGGAAATTGAGAACTCTTAGCTCCTTATAGCAACAGCCATTAAGTGAGGTTGTCAGATTTCAAAAGCAAACATGGTTTTCACAGTCAAAGTAGAAACTACTTATAGAGTGCAGAATATAATAGGTGCCCCTGTGGGCACCTGGGGCTATCCTAGATAATTTAATGGAACATTGTGTTTTTTGCTATACGCTTCTACAGCTAGGCTCCAAAAACCAATGGAAAAACGTATCATTCTCTAGCAGGTCTTTAAAGTCTAGATGTTCTATAGATTTTTATTCATACTAAAGGCCCAACCCAATGCCCACTGAAGGCAATGGATGCCTTTACTCTCAGTGGGAGCCTGGCCATTGATTTTAATGGGCCCTGGATAAGGGCCTAATTCTAAAGAACTTTTCCATAAAGCAATGCTCAGTCATAGGCTTTTAAAAATTTAACAGCATAAAGTATGTGAAGCAAAGTGCTACCTGGATCGTTATGAGCAAGATGTCTAGTGCCGTTGGCTCCTCTGGAGTTGAAAGGGATTTCCTCTGGCTTTGCAGCTTGGATATCTGCATCCATTTGCCATTAAAAAACGAATAGAGAGTCTCCACTTCTCGTATTGTAACTATCAGGATATTGCCGTGTCTGTCTTTGATCGGTTCGTAATAAACTCTGCCCAAGTTGTGAGTTCCCAACAAATTCTAGAAAACAAATGGATCACACAAAGGGCAATATTAACCATCTTATGTGAGCAGAGTGGCATTTTCCAGAGCACTGAATGGAAACTTTGCTCTGTTCCCATCACAGCCAGCCTGAACTTTGCCCTGGCTTTACTGGGGGCTGAGTTCAGTCAATGCATAGGGTGGCTGTTTTTTTTTAATTCCCACCCTCTCTCCACTTCACTCAGTGCAATGCAGCAGGGAATTGTGCCCTGGTTGTGTCTGCAAGCTGCATGGAGAATCTGGGGAGCAGACCACTTGCTGGTGTAAATGGAGGTTAGTGGCAAAGACTAGCCCGATGATTAGGAGCCAAATGTCTTCTTGAAGGACCAAACAGCAGTGTCACTGGCTTGTACAACCTGGAACAGAATTTCCTTCTAAATGCAACAAGTCATGTGGCTATCAGGTAGGAAGTTCAAAAGCATTCAGTGCTAGTCTCAATGCCGTCCCATTAGCGTCAATGGAGCTATGTTGGTTTATGCTAGATGTAGATCTAGATATGCCTCTTAACCTGGCTAGATCCCAACATGAAATGCAACAGGTGTCAAAGATGCAAAGGGAGAGGCCCAAAAGGTGGAATTTTCATGTTGGAAACTTAAGTTTCTGTCACAGAGCACGGAGGTGCCCTGCTCCAGGAGAGGGGAAACTGCCAGGGAAA